AAATATATTTGCTTATGTCTGAATTTGTTCACTCCTTCTTCTTTACTCTTCTTTTGCGGGCATGAACTATTACATAAGGAAAGCTATCACGCATGCGCTCACAACATGGGCGCGTGTGAATTAACACTCGTGCACACACGCACATCAGTTGCGAGCTTCTTTCTCCTACTGACGATGTCAAATACGTATACAGTATGGCTTTCTAGCCGATCGCAACTCAAGACATCATAAATGATTACTACATAATATGTAGAAGGAAATATGGTGAGTAAAAAGAAAGAAAGAAATGAATGAAAAATAAAGAAGCGAGAGAAAGTGAATTAGTTAAAAAAGAAATGAAAAGAGAGACTAAAATGGAAGGTAAAGAGAGACTATAAAATGGAAGGTAAAGAGAGACTATAAAATGAAGCTAAAGAGAGACTATAAAATGGAAGGTAAAGGGAGACTATAAAATGATGGTAAAGAGACTTTATAAAATGATGGTAAAGAGAGACTATAAAATGGAAGGTAAAGAGAGACAGCAAAATGATGTTCAAGAGAAACTATAAAAAATATGGTAATGAGTGACTATAAAATGATGGTAAAGAGAGACTATAAAATGGAAGGTAAAAAGAGACTATAAAATGGTAAAGAGAGACTATAAAATGATGGTAAAGAGAGACTATAAAATGGAAGGTAAAGAGAGACAGCAAAATGATGTTCAAGAGAAACTATAAAAAATATGGTAATGAGTGACTATAAAATGATGGTAAAGAGAGACTATAAAATGGAAGGTAAAAAGAGACTATAAAATGGTAAAGAGAGACTATAAAATGATGGTAAAGAGAGACTATAAAATGGAAGGTAAAAAGAGACTATAAAATGGTAAAGAGAGACTATAAAATGGAAGGTAAAGAGAGACTATAAAATGATGGTAAAGAGAGACTATAAAATGAAGGTAAAGAGAGACTATAAAATGGAAGGTAAAGAGAGACTATAAAATAATGGTAAAGAAAGACTATAAAATGAAGGTAAAGAGAGACTATAAAATAATGGTAAAGAAAGACTATAAAATGAAGGTAAAGAGATACTATAAAATGGAAGGTAAAGAGAGACTATAAAATGAAGGTAAAGAGAGACTATAAAATGGAAGGTAAAGAGAGACTATAAAATGGAAGGTAAAGAGGCTATAAAAAAGAGTAAATAATAGATGATGAATGACGAGATATACTATTTTAAAGAAATAATAATAATAAAGAAATCTTAAAAGACAAAGAAATTTGAATTAAGAACGAACTTAAAGATGAAGATAACAAATTATAACAAAATGAAGGAAAAATTAAAGAGAAATAAAAACAAAGAATAGAAAGTGGGAAAAAGGAAGACGAAACAATTGAAGAAAAGCCGAAATTACAGATAGAAAAAAATAATGAAAAAGTCAAAAAATAAAACAAAAAGAATAAAAACATTTCAAAAGTGACCACCTCGGAAATATATTTTAAAATTTTGAAAATACGCAAAAATATGAAGGAACAAAAAAAGAATGAGTGTTTGACATAGAAAATGAAAAAAAGTCAAATAAACAACAAAATGAATTAAGTAAAAAAATAATTCAGGTAAAAACAAAAATCGAACTAAGTAAGATACAAAAAAGTAATTTAAATTTCAGAAATGTAAAATGAATAAAGAGACAAAAACACAGAGAAAATAAAGATCGAACGAAATAAAAGGATATTCCCCAATCATCGAAGTTAAGCAACATCAAACGACCAAATCTTGGATTGGAGACCGCTTTAGAAAACCGAGTATTAAAAAAAAAAAAAAGGAAATCGAAATGAAATAAAATTTTCAATAAAATGGAGGAATTATTACGAATAATAATCGTAGCCTAGTCTGGTTCAAGATCATATTATTGGAGAATCCGTGACGATCAATAAGAAAAGACTAAGGAAAAAATCAATGAGACGAATGTGTTAAACATGGTGTCTAAGTAGGCCATAAAGAAAATGGTATTAAAAGGAAAAATAAAGTTGGAAGATAAAAACATTTAAATTTAAAAACGAAAACAAAAAAAAAAAGATTTCTGGCGTTAAATATAGTTACGGTCTGATACAATGCCACAAACATGGACACTATTGGAACTCACGAGAGTATTATGGTTATTTTATAGATATAACAAAGTCTGACACAAGACCACATATGCGTAGCACTTAATGTGTGTCAAACTGATAGTATAGGATTAGTTTTTTTTTTAACTATTACGCGATAACAAGTCGTTCAAGATGAGGTTTTGTATTAATATAAACTTTAAAGAAAAGTGGAAGGTAACATAAGAAAAATGAAGAAAAAAAGAAAGAAAGAATAGATAAATGAATGAAAGTAAGAAATGGCGCACAAAATGAAAGGAGATAAAGAAAGAAAGAAAGAAAGAAAGAAAGAAAGAAAGAAAGGAAGAAAGAAAGAAAGAAAGAATGAACAAATCAAAGGATGGAGGAATGAATAAAAGAAAGAATGAAAAATG